AGAACCCCGAAAAACGATGGAAGTTCAGTCCATTATCAAGAGTTCACGCGGACGGACAAAGATTTTATACCAGGAGTATATTTGGAGGATTGGAAGAAACGAATGAAAAACTTTCCAACTAATGAAACATTTCTTCGAGTACTGTGATACGTGGAAGTGTTAGATCGACGAGGCTCAACCATGCTAGAAATGGCACTAGGAAGAAGAGAAAGAAGAAAAAAAAAAGAAAAAGCAGTTAGCACCATTACGCTTTAAGCGATTTATTGCAACTCACATCTCCTTGCTACGTTAATGAATACACTTGTAACCTTCAATGTAAGATTTATAGTGTTCCGATGATTGGGTCAGCTACGTGGGGCGAGTTTTTTAATTATTTTATTTTTTTATTTTTACTTTAACTAAATGACTAATTAATAATGGTGTTTAAAACCCAAAACTCTAGTCTTCTAAGTTTAGGATCGAATAATTTCAAACTAACGTACATACGTGTTTATACGTTCATTTTATGTGTGTGTATATGAGCCTTAAGAGTTTATCAGAATCACGCTCACCTTATATTTGTAAAAAAAGAAAACTGTTTTTTCATTATCAAAACTAAAATGTATATTTATATTGAGTTATAAGCTTGAATTACAGTGATAATAAACAGAAAAGAATCTATTCGCACCATAAAATGATTACATACTAAATATCTTTTAAAAAATCATCTAGAAGAAAATAACTTCTTACATATAGGCATATTTATATTCTCATTGACTGAAATAATATAATTTTTATTTTATTTATATTTTATGCAATTTGCACCTGCGCGGCTGCACATCAAGCAGATTTGTTGTATTTATACTGTCTTGGTGTATTTGGTTGATTTTGTTTTTATCGATGTAGTAGTTCTCTTGGCCATTTTCTTCTTAATCTGCGTTTTTCAGGTAACAGGGAGCAGAAAATAGAAATAATATAATTAGAGAAAGGCATTTAAAATAGTAATCATCCTTCCTAAAACATCATTCAAACAGGTAGTAAATTATTATTGCAGTATTGCAGCGTTTCAATAATATAAAATATCAACAAACAAATCTCTACTGAGTTTTCAAGGACGTTGTCAATAATAGGAAATGTTGGCAACAACAAAAATCAACTGTTCTTTTCAATTTATGTATATTTAACTTCGTCCGTTGTAAAATTAAATTATGTTCGCGGAACTGTAGGATTATTTCATTACTAAGCCATAATGATGTAATACTGGAGCATAATCGTGGTAGAGAAAAATTGTTTGTCGTTATTGTCATCAAAAATTATTCCTGTTTCTATTGACAATAATTTTCTCTTGGAATAAGTAACAGCACGAATTAGTGTTGTGGTGAAAACTATAGGTTCTACAAGACTATCAACATGGTATTTCAGGCATGCTGTTAATCGAAAATGATTTTTCGTTTCACTAATTCACTCCTTCGATTAGTGTTGATCACAAATGACCATTCCTTTTTATATATTCATATTCACTCATGATATGAGCCTCTCAGTTGACAGAATGACGTTCTCCAATTTCAACATTTTTGATTATTAATTTTAGTGATATTTGTAGTGCTAAAATGTATACCTTTATTCGATGTTTTATATTTCAACACTGCAATCACCTACTCTGGAATCAACTTACTCACTGTCTGTATTGTAAATTTTCAGCCATTCTATCAACAGAAAGACTGATATATCAGTCGAAAGTAAATTAATTGATGTTACAAAAATCATGACTTGAATGTACTTGATGTATCAACCTTTACGACGTTTTTTACAGCTTTGGATGAATACAATACAAACATTGTTTGCTGTATCTTCGCAAATATTGGTCCAATGAATTAGAAAATAAATTTAATTTTGAATATTTAATATTAAAATAGAAATTGTTTTTCATCCAAACTAAGGATAGTTTTTGAAAGTTAAGACAAATAATTGTACTATATTTTTTGAAAAAATGGAAAAAAAAATACACACATTTATCCAACTACACTGTTGACTAGGATTGAATTTGGAAATCTGCTGCGAAAACAAACATAATGTGACCTCACCTCTCCTCCCCTCTCTACGTATACTAGAATTGTCAGGGTGGGGGTTAGCGAAAAAATAATTAAATATTTATTGCCTTTTAATGTTTTTTTTGTCAAAATATTATTTAATAATAGATTTTCAAACTGTTTTTTCTATTTATTTGTATACTATACTTAATCATTTTACTAATTGCTTCAGCTGTCGTATCATAAAATTTTATTTCATTGAAAACTATATCTTGGATGAAGATAATGAAGAGGGTGCCATAATAAATTTGAGATTCCAAAAAGACACTTCACTATTACCATCCCAATTCTATTGAATAATCTCTATCAATTAACTCCATTTTAAGGCATGCTACAGCTGCGCATAAAATGGCCGTGGCGGAAGTAAAAATTGGTAACCATAAAAGGCACTCCAACTCGATTCACGTAGAAAGTTTTAAGAGACTGTAGGGGTGCACAAAACCTTAAAAATCGATAAAAAAAAATAACAAAAACAATGTGACGAAATGATAGGCACGTAAGTAAAAATTAAGATCAGCAATTGATACTTATCTAATAGGACTCAATTTCTGTAACTCTATCAAATGGCCAAATTTTAATAACCTAGAGAGCTTAACACCTTCCTAGAACAAAAAGCTCTCCTCAATCCCCTCCAGTTTAATGTACATATATATATATATATATATATATATATATGTATATATAAAACAGTTGGCAACTTCAGTTGGTTGCTTATCTATAATACGTTCCAAGGGATCTGGAACGGATATAAAATCATCACCACTTCCTTCGGACGACCTTCAAAAAAGTGAAAAAATATTTTTTTTGTCGATGTAAAATAGGAATATAATTAATAAAGAATTGTTACTAATTAACTTTTTAAATAAATCAATTTATTTCAATTTTTTTTTAAGTTATGGTTATACAAAACGGATTATATTTTGGTTGATTTTATTTTCCTATGCAGGATTCTTCTCGAAGCTAATTTTGTTTATATTATCTCCGACCTCACATGTGACTACTTCTCATTAATTTTTTTTTTTTATTATTTATTATTTCTAGTCTGGCATCCCTAAAATACTTCAACCCTGGTGCTTTAAGGCACTAACTAAAGAAATCTTTTATAATTTACATATTCGCTTTGGAATAAGATTTATATTTGGAATAGTTTTTAAGTATCCTATAATAAGTTTTTAAGTAATAGTATTGTAAGAATCCTAGTTTTTTAAATTATTATTTCAGTTTATTTGTAGTATTTTTTTTCAATTTAAGTTTTATGTATTTAGTCAAGCTGTAGGCTGATTATGATAGTGCGTTAAATCTTTTGAGTATGCATTAAAATCTACTATTAATTAATTCTAAATGAAATGAAAATAAAAAGTTTGATAATATTATTATCTACTTTAATTTTATACAAATAAAATAAAAATATTAACCTGAAATGATCGTTAATGTTTACTACAATCCTTCCAAGCGTGTCAACGACCCTTTGACAGTTAATTATTTCAACACCTCTGAGCTCTGAGGGAAATGACTACGTGTACTGAGAAGATTACAGATAATATTATTCTTTATCAGTCTAAATAGAATTAAAGGATCAATTTAACTGTAGTTTATCGAGCATTTGTAAACTGTCTTAGTCAAGTAGGTTACATCAACTCATAAATAACTACTGCTTTATTTTGATGTTTTTGAATAAGTTATCGATAACTGTCTCCAATAAGGTAGGAAAATAGTTATATATTATTAAAAATATTTTAAGTGTTTTCCAGTTACTGATATGATATTTTATTTTTTGACTAATGGCTTACTCTTGGAGGATGGAAAGTGGCTGTCCGTCCAGGACCCCAAAAAATAACATATTTTTTAATCAAACTAGAAAGTTATTGTAATTTTTTTATTGTGTATGCTCCGATACATGTTAATAATATATTTGTAATAAACCAATGTATATATAATAATACAATATAAAATACTCCAAAATATATCCACCTCGGCCGACTGAATGTTTTTACTTACTTTTATTTGTCTTATACCAAGACCCCTCTGTCGAGGTGGTGAGATAACAGAGAAACCTGGCGGTTGAGTCGGATGTTGACCATTTCACATCTTAATATAACTTTCAGTTAGAAACGCATTCTTTACCGAATCCTTATTGATTTGTAGCAGAAATTTTTTTTATTATTAAAAAATACTTATGGCTAAATAAATCGTTATAGTCATGTTTGGCTGATAAGTTTTCGTTTGGAAATTCGGCCAGTCAAATTTAGACCATAGCTGCAATATATTTATGAGGAGACTATTTCGGTTAATTTTCTGAGGACTAATTTACGAGAAAGCAAATTAAGTTACGACTTAGAGATTCATGTAAAGAATTACAACAAAAAATCTGTTATATTGTGTCACTCTAGTTTTCACTCATTTATTAATCTCTCGGTGGATTAATTTCAACTGATAACCTAAAAAAAATACATTACTATCCCATATTTATTTTAAAAAATATTACTGAGTCATCGTATCTTAGGTATTTTTTAAATATTTTTTTATTGTCGTCAGTTTTCTTTTTATTTAACATACTACTTATAGGAATTCATTACTAGAAAATATCACCTTTAGTGCATAGAGAATTACACATGTAAATTCGTTACATACGGCCTTTTGCACTTACAGTAACGATATGTATGTTTGTATAAACTCATTCCATGTTCGGATTGAGCATTAGAAAGCTGGCTGATATGATGTTTGACCTGTGTGTTTTTCCACAAGCATTTAGATGATTCTTCCGAAGACTCTATTCGATTTTAAAGAGTCATTATTGTGAAACCTCCGATTATTAGTGGTTATGACTTGATGGTTATGACCTTTAATTATCCGATCAAATTTGATCATCTTCTATTTAGCAACGTTTAAACAAGTAAAAACGGATATTTAGTGAGCCATTTAATCTTTATCTTACTCGTTATATCGAATGGCATTCAAGTCAGCCTTATCAGAAATGGACCCATTTATGAGCCTCCGAACAGCAGTTTGTCGCTAGAGTTTTATAGGACACCAAGTCTTGCAAAATTGCAACTATAACGTCCGACAGAGCATAAATCATTTCCCATTGAATAAACCATAAAATACCTCATTCGTTTCGTGTACCTGGCGGTGTTTGATTTGTCGCGCGACGGAGACCCGATGATCGAATCGAGACTGACCAACTGTCCTGTTTACCGGAGGGGTACTCTGGTTCCAGACTCCTCCATATTTATAGAACTTGATAATGAACCTATTGCGTAAGACCGCGCACAAGATATCCTTCCTGCTGGAACAGGTCCGACCGGTAAGAATGTTAACTGGAAAGTGGGAGCAGGTGTGGCCCTGTAAACACAGGCGTCGCGATCAGCTACTGCCATCGGAGTCATGTGTCTGCCAAAGGAAGCTGTTGCACTGACTCATGTTGCAGATTATAGAGTCTTGAGATGATATACGGATCGGCTGTGATTGAAAGCGGAACAAAAGAATTTATGAAATAATTTCGATTCCATCGCACGGAACCATGAATGAACCATTTTGACAGCTATCCGGTTATTGCATTTAATGCTTGCAAACAAAAAAACGCTGCAAATTATTTCACAACGGTTTATTATTTCCAAACAATTATAAATCTAAAGTAACAGTACCTTCCTAGTTACAAAGAAAAATAAATAAAAGGTGATTCCAATTATTGGACTAAACTTTTTTTTAATCATTAATAATATGCTAAAAAAATTAGCATTACTTCAGTAACACATTCAAAATTCAAAAATCAAAATAAAGAATATAACTTTTACAGTAGAACATATAAAAAAAACTAGAGACCATATATTTGCTCGTAATTGTCCGATAAATTTATTTTAAAAAATCTGGTACGATGCGCGCATTACACAACTTTCACTTACCAAACTTAGAGTAGATATTTTCATATATAGGGAAGTCAAAGTGCAAACAACGCGATAACTTCATTTAAAATAATCAATTACCTAGTTACCATTATCAATTACCACCGAATCTGTTAAATTTATACATTTTCATCACTTTCCGTTTCCTTTTACGACTATGTATATTATCAAACAACACTATTAGCTGTAGAAAAAAATAGATCTTTAGGAAAATTCTGAGTTTTATCGAAAACATTTCGATCACGTCACGGAAACATCACGAAACTTGTCGAAAAATAATTTGACAGTTAGTAAATATAGTATATTACTAGGTTTATATTAGCAGATTCTCAATATTTCGCTAGAAAATCTGTTTTAAATATGGACAATGGTGGTATATAATACTTAAACTAACAATATGAAAGCCCTGTATGGGTACGGGGTATAAGGTATCTGTAAGGAGACGGGATCGGCAAACGTCGTACTCTCTCGGCTGTTTCCGTATAGCTTCCAACCCTTGTTTTTCTTTATTTGCCAATCAATTTTCTTCGTTTATGATAATTAAAAATTTTTATACATCATTTTACAATGTGAAATAGTTAATTATTAAAAAAAACGTACTTCAAAGGAAGAACTTTTGTAATTAGGCATTTAAACCCAGTTGGAGGACATCAATGGAAATATTGAAAAAGCATATTTTTTTCTTGATATATTTAATTTAATAAAAATAGTTTGAGCCGTTTTAGATAAAATTGTAAAAATCCATTATATAAAGTGTTACATCCGGTTTGACTATTTTGATGAAAAAGTTGCTGTAATATCCCAGGCATGTCCAAACCTTAAATACGTAATTTCAGTTGCGTGCGAATTTTCCTTTGTGAGCTAGACTCTTCACACACACAGAGCATTTTCCGGGCGGGATTTGGTCATGTGGACTCAGAGGACCTCAAAACGTGTATTTCCGTTGTAAACCCAGATTCGAAAATTTTCACGATCGCAATACTTTCTCTTACTATATATTAAATATATTGGTAAGTGAAAGTGAAAATTATAAAGGGTTAGACACGGTATCGATGTCCACTTACTTGCTTCTGGGCTGCATACATTTATTTTTAAAGAAGTCCATATAAGGTAGGCTGGGAGAGTGATAGTTGCGCAAGAGATGAACAAATCCCTGGGGGACCCAGGTGTTGGCGGTGATCCCCGGGTACCGGGCTGTGTAGGATTGCAGCGTGCCCCCATCTGCAGCCTCCGCGGATTGGGGTCGAGCGAATATCGGATAAAGAGTGTATTAGGAAATAGCGGTCCTATTGGTCCTTGTTATTTATAATGACCAGATCTCAACAGATACACTTCTTTTCCCTCTCAATATCTTTCGGAATTAAAGTATTTGAATCAGTGTCGTGTATAGGAATAAATTTGAATCGGAAATCAAGAAACGGAGAAGACAAGACCTCACATATGTAAAGCGTATCCTTGAGTTCCAAAGATGCTGGTGGAATTTAATCCAGCCTATATTCATAATACAAAAATAAAATCGCAATCAAAGTAGGAAGTAGGTCTAGAAATGCAGTCTATCACAATGTATTAAATTATATAATAATAAAGTTTTAGATAATTTTTACTGTATTGTTATTTTTTATCAACACATAGTATTCTCTTACATATTATTTGCTTTTAGAAGCACCGTATTTCAATATAATTTTTATTTTCAATTTTTATTAAGTAATGATACAGTCTGCGACATTGAATGGCAAAAAGTAATTGTGTTAATTTATAAAATATGCACATTCAAGCGGTAAATAAATATATATATATATATATATATATATATATATATATATATATATATATATATAAATTTAAATAAAGAAAATAAATATTAAAAATTAAATAAATATAAAAGTTCAATATCGACTATTTTTTCATAAGAAAAAAAATTCAAAAATTGAAATATTATTTGAATCGGTGATAAAAAAAAAAAAAAAAGTGAAACTGTGTTTATTAATATTAATGTAATATTTTTTTAGGACAACCAAAAATATATATTTAAATTAAACGTCGGCATGTTAACTATTTCCTTCTTTGTTGTGTGGATTCACCCATGGTTTTGTTGTTTGGATTTTTCCATTTATAACACAATCACCTTATGTCTCTTTTCTAGCTTTATGCTTATTTTAGTTTAGTTATATTACTTGTGGAATGACCGTGTATCCGCTGAGTTTTATTGGGAATGGATACTTTATTTCTTTTAAGTTTTATTTTTTCTAGCTTTGTCATTTGATTTATTACTTTTTATTTAATTTAATACGTTTCGTATTATTATATTTTAGTTATACCTATTTTCCCCTCTTGTATTTCGTCTAATCAGCTGTTTAATATAACCTTCCATAGCTGATTTTAATAGAACCTTCTCTTTCCTTCAGTATGTACTTCGATGGCTTCGCTAGATGTCGACAGCATTTTATGTTTTATTTTTTACTCTTTTATTTTTTTTTTTTTTTTGCCAACGGTGAAACGTTGGCAAGATGTCTATTCAATTGTATGTTGGAGACTCATGTCTTTGTTGGTTGGATTTTTCTATTTGTAATATATTTTTAAATATATTATTTATTTCACAAAAAAAAAAACAGTCCATAATTAATCAGACAAAGAGATGTAAATTGTATTGCTCTCCTAAAATATTGTTTCAGATTTCGGACTAGTTTATTAATTATAAAAAAATCAAAACTTTTCTTATGTATAGTAAGTGAAAAACGAAATCTAAGTAATGGAATATAAGTGAAAGCATCAAAATTAAAGAACAAAATTAGTAGAGCGGCAGATGCGGTATTTTTTCCATCAATATAACCAGTAGAATGAATTATATATATGTTTGTGTGTGTGTGTTTGTGAACACATTAATTCGCTTACAATTAGTATCATCTATCAGGAAGGCTCTAAACAACAATATAGCGTAGCACGTTCTCAACATATAGATTTTCATTACTCCTGATACAGTCATTTTTCCATTCTTAAATTAAATATGAATCTAGATGTCTAATTAATCAATATCTGAACAGCATATATTTTTATAAATATCTAAGCAGACATGTTTTGAGATTGTAAACATTTTCCAAACAAATAGAAAAACTCTTGTTCTAAAGTTGTCTAATGTTGCAATAAAGATCCATAGGAACATCTTTAAAATGAGCTATTAAACACCCTTCTAGGACTATCGTTTATAAGTCTAAGAGCATCTTTGTGATCCGTCGATTTTTGCTATTCTTCATAATCAATATTTAATACTACTCAAGAAAAAAATATTTAAAAATAGATTTGTAACGTATTTGTTGGGTTTGACTAACATACCAAAAATCATAAACATCTAAAACTTAACAGGATCAAAATTTAGTAACCATTGGGTAATATACTATTGGGTAATTTGGTATTAAATGAACTTGATAGATAGATAAAATCAACAATCACGCTGAATTGTTATAGACAGCAAACAGGAACAATTATCCTCCACGGATAGAAAAAAGTGAAGAGAGAAAAAACAGAAACAAGTGTATATATATTATATATATATATATATATATATATATATATATATATATATATATATATATATATATATATATATATATATATATATATATATATATAGTTTATTAATGAAACTATGTTATCATTAATAAACTTCAACAGTTTTCCAGTGATATCCAACGATTTCCAACGATGAAAGCTCTACATTCCAAAAGGGGGGAAAATAAAAAAACTGCATGGCATACAGAGTTTTTTTTTTTTTTGTAGGATTGAGTTACTTTCAGCCTAATCACTATAATATCGGACCTAGCGTACGAGGAGCTTACTAAGAATAAAAAGGCAATTAATTTAATTCCCGCTACAAGGCTCGTGTTGCTAATATAAAGTTATTTTTCTAACTGTACCTATATCGCAGTGGAAAATAATTGAAAAGGTGTCCTTGAGGTGAACATACGCAGTAGGCAAGGTCTACAAACCGAACGCTGGGTTTATGGCCGATGACGTAGACAGCTCGATTAGTTCCCGGCAGATAAAATAAGGCAGAAAAGCTTGAAGATGAGGCGGAAGGACAACGACCATCCCAACGCAAGGACTGAGGTTGTAATGGAGGAGGAAGAAGTTATCACAGCGTTATGCAATCCGATGAGGACTTGAGGTTAGGTTCGAATGGTCACAGTTCCTTTCTTGGTTATGAAACTGTAGTTATGGTTATTATTGTGACTCTCGAAAATTGTTTCATATCTAAGGGCTTTCTTAGTTATTATCAATATGTCACACTTTTTCTCTTATAGTTTATGAATTTATAAAAATCAATTTGTAACCTTACTAAAAGAAAAATTATTACGATCGTCTCTTTTTTGTAACAATTGATTATTTATTTTTTAATAAATAAATAGGAGTGAAGGAGATTGGTGAATAAGGCGCCGTGTTTCTATGATCCGAGTTGCTGATTCGAGTCCAACTTTCACTGGTAGTTATTAGTTTCGATTCATCAGCAATTAATCGACTATGTGGTCTAGAGGCTAACCTAGGTCACATCCAGTCTTTATGAATTGGTCACTGTTAATAAAATAATTAAGGGGGGAAATCTAGGCGGTCCAAGAACCAGTACTTCCTTAAGAAGTACTGAACCCAAGACCTTTCATGGTACAGGTTTTTTTTTTTTTTAAATAAACAAAAAATATTTATACAAGGATGTTTTATTTTGTTTTTTTAAATCAACAACAAATTATTTTTCGAAAAAACTATCCGGATCTGGATGTACGCATCAAAATCTTCAATGCCCAATTCATCGCGTATTGATCTACAGACTAACCACCGTTCCAGTATTGAAGCCTAGCAAAATGTTTATTTCGACTTTACTTATTTTAGAAAGAAAAACAAAAGCGGAGGGTACAATTTGCTAACTACTCCTGAAATTCGTTATCCGACGGTACCCTATTCATGGCATTTGAGCATAACATGAGCTTATATTTGGTACAAATTTTGGGCCTCACTGTAATAATATATGTGGGTATATGTATATTGAGAAAACCATATGTACAAATACTCATGCTTGCATTATAAACTTGGCCAAAGACCATCTAAGTCCAACAGTAAACATTATTTAAGTAAACATTGATTGTAAATACGTATTATTTTTACACTAAAACACATATAATAATATGACGACAACTAACAATAGGAATAATAGCAAAAACCTATACTTAAATAAAATACGGATAATTAAATATTCAAAATTAAAAAAAAAAAAATTAACCATTTAATTCTTGAGTCAAATGAAATCTAGAAGCTTGTTTACAGTAACTTATCAGAGCAATCCAATTTTCTTCATTAAAAAAATCTATTGTATATGACCCATTTAAACTAATTTTCGTAAAACACCTTACCCCAATCTCCCTTAATATTGGAAAAACCTATACTATAATACTTAAATTAATTATTATAAAGTTACTTGAGAGGAGTTATAGCCAGTTAAAAAAAATAGAATTTTTTGTAAAAAGAGCACACTGTTTTCTTATATCAGATATTATAGACAGGTATTATAATTGTCCGGTATTCATGAAACGAACCAATATATAAAATAATAATATTCTATTTTATATTTATTAGGCCAGTTGTCTAATTTAAACTTCTTAGATTCAATTAATCCATTTCAAGACTTATTTAGGTCTTGTTACGATAAATTAAGCATTGTCAGATTGGAGACATTGATTTTATGTATGATTCTCATATCCAATAACTTCTAAAGATGAGGATCTAGAATCAGACAGTGAATAAATTTGGAGATTGGAATTCTAAGCTGACTACAATACCTATCTTCAAAGATGGAGGGGAAAAACTTTAACTCACCAGCATTTAATTTTATCTATCATCATTCTATTTTTTCCCACTTAATAGGTATACCATATTATAACTATCTATTTAGTGATGCAATAAATGAACACATTGTAGGTAATAAATCATATACGATTGTAAAAATAAGAAAATGAAAGTAATCTGGTTTAGATGGTTGAATTGCTGTTAGCTGCGATCTGGTCTAGGCTCCTTTCTAACTTACCATTCTGTGAAAATGATGAAAGTATTATAACAATTTTGGGAACCTGAGCAAGTTTTTCACACAGGCACAATCCGCGAGGCTTACGCCATATATTCCTGGCTCCTTGTCGGAACCTTAGCCCTAATTACCTGTAATCCAATAACGGCCTTATTCT